ATTGAAAAAAAAATGGAATCTTTCCCATTTACTTTTTTCAAGCTTTGTTTATTATCTCTTCAGGATATTTGAATTTGATGATGATGTTAATACTTTTTTATGTTAAAAAATGGTAAAAAAAAAAATCTTTCTTTTCCTTACAATCTCAGCTTGAAAGAAAGAGATGAAATGTTGGGATGCTTTCAAAGGCCCCTGCTCTTACAGACCCCAGCCCATCATCTTACTTAGTGTTTCTTCGATTATACTAACCAGTCATATCACTCACTATCCTCTTAATTTTTTTTTAAAACTTTTAGAAATGGTCAGGAGTCACTCTGCATAAACTGCCCAGGTTATGCGTGCCGAGCCGCTTCTCCGCACAATTCTCCAATCACTGCTTTCACAGTGATGCTTGTTGTGGTTTCTTTAATTTCATCCAACAGCGGGGAATTCAAATGTATTCACAGAAAGTCCCGTTAGTAAGTTTTCACTGCTACGGTTTGTGGCATTTACCCGGCGTGCGGCCGGACCCCCCCCAAAAATTAACAAGAAACAATAGTTAAAATGTTAAAGATAATGAGATGTGGTTCGGCGCGAACCTCAGTGAGCTGACCGGGCATGGTCCGGTAACTGTGACGCATCGGAAACTCACCTTCACACATGTGCATAAAAACCAGAACTGACAGAATAATCCATAGAATATTCCCTTCCATTTCGGTGGAAACGTTTCCAGCGTATTAAAGTCGGCCTTTCAGTAAAAATACATCCTTTAAAATGTTCACCAGAAAGAGTTTTAAGGCTCCGGAGTTTGTGGGGGAAATTCTCATGAAATGAATCTGGACGTTGTCGTTCTTAGTCCCGCGTTGTATCCTCCGCAGCTCGGCCGCGGCTCCTGTAACTGCTGCCTGTGATTCTGCAAACTTCTGAAAAGTTTTTCCTTCTCTCCCAGTGTCCCACCAGCGTTTCTCACGTCCCGCCTCCCCAGTAACCCTCTCACCCCCCGCCCCCCAGCACCGTCTCTCTAGCTCTCTCACCCTCTATCGTTCTCTCATCCCTTCCTCCACACATTGTCGAGCTTTAACTAAAAACCTTATTCCTACCCTTAACCATAACCTACGCATTTAAAATTGGAAGGTCACGGCTCGCGGGCCAAAAATCGATCCGCTAGGGCTTTATGAGGTGAAAAAAAATTATACATTTTATGTCTGTGTTGTTGTTTTTTTTTGTCAAATGATATTTCAATAAATATGAATATTTTCTAATATACTTTTTGCATGAAAACAAAGGGGGAAAACATGGACTTATTGTTATTCATAGGTAATTGTGTGCTAATTGTACTGGTCCGGCCCACTTGACATATAATCAAGCTGTATGTGGTCCCTGAACCAAAATGAGTTTGACGTCCCTCATTACCATGTTAATAATTGCTTTCTAGCTCATTCCAGCGTCTTAGGGTTTACAGGTAGTTTCTTTTTGTAAACAGACAACATTGAAATAAATATGTTTATGTCCCTTTTATCAAATGTCACAATTCATGTAATATTCTAATATTTTTGGCCACCTTCCAGTCAGGGGCCCTTGGACCCGCCCGTCAAATTTTAAAGCTCATTTTGGCCTGTAAACCAAAATGTTTGCCCACCCCTGAGTTGTAAAGTGTTTATGAACACCTGTGGCAGGTGAGAAACCTTACGCCTAGGCCAACCTTCACTCAGCAAACAAACTAATATTGTTAGTTTATGGCTTAGTCATAAAATGGTGGCCCAGGTGGTTGAAATTAGTAGGGTTTGAATTTGATTGTTTGAACTAACCCAACCCTACAGAGAAATGCTTGTCACAACAAGGCTCGTCCAATTACCAGGAACTTGATACAGTAAAGCACCTACTACTGTATGTCGCACTGGTTATCAACAGTTAAAGGTTGGTGAGCCCTGTTGTACAGTATCCAAGCAAAGGCTAACTTTGCTCTAAAGCCGCAATTATATTTCTAAAAGGTTGTAGACCTGTATAAGTCGTTGACATATTTATTAAATGTAAGCATCCTACACATTTGAAGGGTCATGTTAGCGCACCCAACGGTACATTGTTTGACCCGTGTACAAGCTAGCCTGCTGGTTTGTTTATTTGGATGCATTGCTTCGCATAGAGTGAATTGTACAAATGAAGCATTCCCACAATCCCTGTGGCTGACGCACCGATCGGCAGTTCATGTGCATTGCTTCGCATAGAGTGAATTGTATAAATGAAGCATTCCCACAATCCCTATCCTATATGGCCCTGGACTCATTTCGCGCTTGTATATAGAGCCTCAGTTGTTCTGTGGCGCAGAGTTGAGCCACTTGCTTAACAGAGACAATAGCCGTGATTTGAATCATAAAGCAAGTCAGGCATTATGACACAGTTTCTCTCTGCAGGGGAGAGTACTGTTGTTTCAGAGCAGGAAGATTCAGCACACACTGCGCCGTCTCGCTCTTTCTCTGCCTCTTTTTTTCGTCGCACTTGGCCTGCGCCCGTCCTTGAATAAATTAGCGGCAGGGGTATATAGGGCCATGAATGACGCTGGCCGGTTTGGAACAAGGTTTGTTAGTGTGTTTGGGACGTCATCTATAGGGGTCAGTGAAAAGAGCTTACAAACACCTGCTTGGTTTGGCACCCACCATGTTTTAACAGTTGAAGCAGGACCTTTTCCAAATAATTTTATACTTATTTTTTAAGTTCTGCAGTTTAGCAAGTGCATATAACTAATATTTAATAAAGTAATCTCAATCTATTGATCTTTTCTTGCTTTGTTTTTGGCAAATTTGTAGCTTTCTTCATATCAGTTTGGCTCAAATTGAAATAGCTATATCTGTTTTTTGATGTTTTCCCTGCAAACTTGATACTCTGTTCTTGATATATTTCTGGCCAACCCAGCTTTTCCTGTTTTCCTCTGCTTACATAAGCATTATTTCCTTGGTAAAACTCTTGGTAACTTTCGGTTGACTTTGGCTCCCTCTGATATATGTTTTGGCCTAACCTAATTTTGGCTATGTTTTCTTTTATATGTATTTATATTTGTTTCTGGATTAAGAAAGTGAAATGAATTTTGGACTGAATGGAAAAGCTGAATTGTTTGTAGTAATCTAAAACTAGGTATCTTTAACATGAAATGCCAGTTGAACAACAGTTTAGATTGAGAACTAATAACCAACTGCATGTGTAGAAAAAAAATCAAATCTTTTCCAGATTCATTGAATACCGTACTTTACACAAATCAGTTAATGATGGTCGTAGTCGTTTTTTAAAAACTTTAAACTAGCATTTAACATTGCAAAACTACTTTTTTACTAATGTCTTGCTTCTCCATTCTCGGGCGACCTGACACATTTTTCAATCCAGAATGGAACCAGCAACACAAATTCCTTATCTATATTTTAAATTCATATGAACAGAAAAGTGTTTGAATTTTAAAATGCAGCACATTTCTAATAAAACATCATAGTTCTCAATGTCACGGGAAAAACATTTAGCCTTCAACTTGATAAAAGTTTTGTCTCACATTTTGTTTATGCACAATTACAGGCTTGGGTCCACTCCTGTGGGTTTTTTCTCTCATGGCATTTGAATATTAAAAGTGATTAAAACCCACTTCATTACCTGAGGGGAGGAAAGCAGATAAAATCCATGTCACAAAAGCGTGTAATAAGCTGATTTAACTTTTTTTTCTTGGTGTTTTCGTCTGGTTGTGAATCATGTTTTCCCCCTGCGGGGATGTACTGTTGGCACTCCCTGCTCATCCTGGCAGGTGCTGGCAGTATTTTGACTAGCTTCCAGATGGATGTCGTCCCAGACAGAGATTTCTCATGAGTGTGCTCAGGGACAGATAGTTGTATTTGCACTGTGTTGCTATCCTGGCACTGAGTCTACAAATGCCACACACAGTCACTTAATCCTTTTTATATATATAATATTAAATATTACACAGTAATCATTGAATAAAATAGTTCCTAATTCCATAATAATTCCTTTTCTTGTTATGTCGTATACGGAGGTATTCAAATATAGGTGTGTTTACGGCATCGTTCATCATTGGATAAGTGACTAGCGTTGACCTTGCTGTTGAAGGTATCTGTCTGTAACCAAACTGAGATATGGAAGCTAACTTTCAAATTCAAAAATATGCCATCAAAGATCTTCAGTAAAGACCCTACGCTACGCTTGCAAAACAATTACCCTTAAATCTGTCATGTTACTGTGGGACTATAACATGGCTTCTCAACCCCCCCACACCCCCCCAAAAAAAAAGATCTGCATCTTATGATCATTAAAATTCAGATGCCTCACAACCTATTTACATGAACCTACTCAAAAATATTCATTACAAGACATACAGGCTTGGTCTGGGATGTGGACTGTCTTGGCGTGCAGTCCGGCACGAATCCTGGTCTGGACTTCAAACACCATACTTACTCACTGAGACGTCCATTCAGAAAATGATCATTTTATGACACAGAACCCAATAAATTTTCATGGTTTCATAGTGTAGTGATTAGCGCGCCTGCCTTGTAAGCAGAGAGCAGAGAATCCTGGGATTGATTCCAAGGGGAACCACATATCCCTAATGGCACCAACCAATGTCGGTTGCAAAGACTTGCACTGCACATTTTCCCATTGTGTGAAAAGTAAAGGTACTAGCAGCAGCAACATCAACAACAATAATAAGACCTTAATTACTTTTGTTGATATTTTATTTTATTATCAATCTTTGGCAAAAAACTCCCTAATCTACAAATTCTATATGACTGAATCAGGAAACTCGATTTGTTGGGTATATATGTCCAGTATATTAATAGATTAATAGACAGATAGAAAATGATTTCTTAATCATATATATAAAGGTAGCCGATAATACCTTTTCAGGTCCTCTGTTAAGTAGCTGCGTTGTTTTCCTTTTCAGGTCCTCTGTTAAGTAGCTGTGTTAGGTTTATTTTTCACTCAAGTATCCACCGAGTGTTAGTCGTAATGCTAATTTTCAGGTGGAATTACATGTGTGTTAAGTGCCGAATATGTGTGAGTTTCTCATACAGTCACACAGTAAACTTTAATTGCCCTTAGAGGGAACCTGACGATGTTGCTAACAGAACACTGAGTCATTGTTTTCATACCTGTTGTTAAAATGTGTCGATTGAGACACAACTCCGTCTGCCTGATCTCAGTAATAAAAGAGGCCGCTGCAACACTTCCGTGCGGAAACACAACCTTGTTTTTATTGTTCCTATAGCAGTAAAGAAAGGGTCGCCGAGTCCTTTTTAGAGCACTTTTTGTCCTCTCCGTCTTTGAAAACACACAAAAATACACACAGAACAAAGTCTGGGTTTTGTTTGTGGTAAAGAGAGAGTGTGGGAGCGGACGCAATGGTGACAAATTCTCGCAGAGGACTCAGGGGGGAATCTCAAAACACAAACACGGGTGTGACAGGTCAGAATTTATAACGTTGTCGGCAGGTGAGTGGAACTCCACTTTGAACTCACTGTAAGGATCTGAAAGTGAAAGTGAATTATTGGCAACACTGCGCACAATGAAATGTGTCCTCTGCCTTTAACCCATCACCTTAGTGAGCAGGGAGCAGTGTCTTGGGCGGGGGGGCAGTGTGTGGGGACGGTGCCATGCTTAGTGCACCTTAGTGGAACTAGGTGGCTGGTGGATTCGGACCTGCGACCTTTCAGGGACAAGTCTTAACCACCAGGCCACAACTGCTCAAGACATAAATTTTGATGCAGAATCTTTTGGGATGGTTTACTTTGCATGTAGCTGCACACAATTTTGCTTAGTATTAGAGATGGCTCGATTTCGATTTTGGTTTACTTTGCATGTAGCTGCACACAGTTTTGCTTTGTATTCGAGATGGCTTGATTTTGATATTCAGGATTGGTATTGGTCTGATATTGGTCAAAATTTCAGGATCCATCCACCCATCCATTTTCATCCGCTTATCTGTTATCTGTGACCCAAATCACACTGTACCGTACCA